AGGAGGAGGAGGAGGAGGAGGAGGAGGAGGAGGAGAGCAGGGGCAGATGGAGGGGTGGGGGGCTGAGCTTGATCCCTCCCCCATCCTCCTACCCCCAGCTGCCCCCAGAGCTCACCCGAAGAAAGACCCTCACACCCAGCCTTCCGGGGGACCCAACTCCTGGTTCAGCTTTGTCTCGCTCCCTGGGCAGCTCCATCATCCTGGGCCTGGGACGGGGGAATAGGCCTCCCTCTGTCCCTGGCTGGGACCTCAGGACCCTCTCTTGAGTTCGGAGACTGTCTTGGAAGGGATCTGTGCCCCCTCCCTACACAAAGACTGGGTTGGGGCTGCGGGTCCTTAGGGTCCCCTCCTCAGTTCATTGTGCACACTGGGACAGCAAAGGACTCCTACCAGAACCTTGGTTTCCTCACCGGCAAGGTGGGGACCGTGCCGCTTTGGCCCTTCTATCCTCACTGCTGGAGACTGGAGGTAGCAGCAGCAAGTACCCGGCCCAGGCAGGCAGGCCTGGGGAGTTCCTGTGCTTCCCTCTTGGCTTCCGGAGACTTGTGGCCTCCCACCACGTTTCCCTGAAGCAGAGAGACAAAAGCATCCTCCCTCTTTGGCCATTTGGGGCCTTCTGGTCCTTGGGGGACCAAGGGGAGGCATGTCTCACTTATCCCAGCAAGAATTCCCAGAGGATACCAAGGAAAACCAGGAGGGAAGGTTGTGGGCCCCAGGGCCTTCTGGTGTGGGGGCCATCGGAAGCCCGAGGACCAGTGACCTCTGGGTGTCCTTGCTGGCTGCAGCTTGTCTGTGTCAGCTCGGGCTCCGGGAATGAGTCTGAGTCATTGTCTCCGAGCTGAGGACGCCCACTGCAGTGGCTCTGAGACTGGGCAGGAGCAGCCGGGCAGCATCTCTCCGCTCAGCTCCGGTAGGGGTGAGGGGGGGCTGGTAGCAACACTAGCCTGCAGGGCCCTGGAGTGACCATCATGCTGGAGAAGCTCGCGGGGCCCGGAGGCGACAGTGACAGGGGCCACAAGCTCTGGTGAGCTTGTGACAGAGGGGATGGCCCAGAGAATGTTGAAGCTCATGTGCACGAGGTCCGACAGTAAGAGGGCCTGATGGGCGTCCAGCTTTTGTCCTCCCTGCCTGTCCATTGCATTCACTTATTTTTTTTT